ATAGAGAGTGTGTGTGTGTGTGTCTGTGTGTGTGAGAGAGAGAGTGTGTGTGTGTGTGTGTGTGTGTGTGCTTGATTCTAGATCTCCAACAGATTCGCAACTTCCTGAGATCATAATTCAACACATGCATGTCAAAAAGAGGCTCTTAAGGCAAGACACTACAGGCGTTTTAATGCACTGCTCAGTTTTGAGCTCTATTTTGCTTCTTCTTTCAGACTAGTGGTTTAAAAAACATCCAAAATACACATTTAAGTGTTTATTTTATTGCATTTTAGTTTATATATATTTTTGCATCTGTAGATTCCAATTGCAATCCATATCTTTGAAGAGTTTTTTTTCTCTTACATTCACCAAACTTTATAGTTTTTATCCATATCTATATTCTGAAGGCTTTTAGGGAGGGGTTTGTTCATATATCATTCACACATGGTGAAAACGTAATTGCTTTCTGTCTGTTGACAGTATTTTCTGATAAAAAGGGGAGTCCAAAACCCCTCTGGAAAAAAATTAATAAAAATCAAACAAGAATTTTCAACCTGGATTTATTAAATGTTCAGATTTATGTGCTGGAAATGTATGCAAATTAGCCCATATTTAATTATACAATTAATTATATGTGTATAACTCATTATGACATTGAATTATGCATATAAATTAAATAATTATGCATATTTTTTATATATATATATTTAGTACTTGTAATTCTTAATGTTATCAATCAGCTGGTGATGTACGGTCAAACCAAAAATTCTCCAGATATAATTATTTTTTATATTTTTTTACTAGTGAGTGCAGGACACTATAGTTCATTTCTGTAAGTGAGGAGAGCAAAATAAAGTGAACTGTGACATATTAAACCCAGAAACTCTTCATACAGTGGACTAACAGTACAATTTGGAAGCAAAAATGATTCAGTCACTTTGAGCTGAGCATGTTTTTCTTTAATTGCTAATGTGATCTTTTTACACCACAGACTGAACTAAATGAAGCACTGCTTGGTAACCGGTTGAGCTAGACTGGTATTATCTAATTGTGTTCTTAAATTTAACAGCTGAATTCATTACATACCTTTCTATCAAAGTTATCTGACATTATCAAGATGAGTTTGTTCTGACACAGTGTAACTTTGAGTCATATTTTATTACCATTTTATAAACTATAGCGAATAAACTGTGATATAATGTGAGAAATGTTGAAGCTGTCTGCATAAGTCTTGGTTTGACTGTGTATATGTGTGTGTGTGTGTGTGTGTGTGTGTGTGTATGTTTGGTAATTTTCATTTTCATTTCACTTATTTGAGCTATAAGCCAGTGTGTTTATAATCACAAAAGTTTGGCCAAGTTGTGCAGCCCTAAAAACAAGCAGAACCATCCGCTCTTGTGTCTTGTATGTGGTGGTGTTTTCTTCAGACGAGTCTCTCAGTGCTGTTGTGTGTGTGTGTGTGTGTGTGTGTGTGTGTGTGTGTGTGTAGCAGTTAGCGGTTAGCGCTGTGAATGCAAGGCAGGTCTGGACGCATCCCGCTCGGATCAGGATCTGATCAATATTTAACCCGTCTGTTTGACATGCGTGTCCTCGTTACAGACGGAAGCCAACGACTGCTGCACTCCATCCAAGTTACTTATAAACCCAGCTATTGGTTTGATTTCCACTTCCTGTCTGCTCAATCCTTGCGATCCAAGTTCATTATATATATATATATATATATATTCTGAAGGCTTTTAGGGAGGGGTTTGTTCATATATCATTCACACATGGTGAAAACGTAATTGCTTTCTGTCTGTTGACAGTATTTTCTGATAAAAAGGGGAGTCCAAAACCCCTCTGGAAAAAAATTAATAAAAATCAAACAAGAATTTTCAACCTGGATTTATTAAATGTTCAGATTTATGTGCTGGAAATGTATGCAAATTAGCCCATATTTAATTATACAATTAATTATATGTGTATAACTCATTATGACATTGAATTATGCATATAAATTAAATAATTATGCATATTTTTTATATATATATATTTAGTACTTGTAATTCTTAATGTTATCAATCAGCTGGTGATGTACGGTCAAACCAAAAATTCTCCAGATATAATTATTTTTTATATTTTTTTACTAGTGAGTGCAGGACACTATAGTTCATTTCTGTAAGTGAGGAGAGCAAAATAAAGTGAACTGTGACATATTACACCCAGAAACTCTTCATACAGTGGACTAACAGTACAATTTGGAAGCAAAAATGATTCAGTCACTTTGAGCTGAGCATGTTTTTCTTTAATTGCTAATGTGATCTTTTTACACCACAGACTGAACTAAATGAAGCACTGCTTGGTAACCGGTTGAGCTAGACTGGTATTATCTAATTGTGTTCTTAAATTTAACAGCTGAATTCATTACATACCTTTCTATCAAAGTTATCTGACATTATCAAGATGAGTTTGTTCTGACACAGAGTCATATTTTATTACCATTTTATAACCTATAGCAAATAAAACTGTGATAATGAGAGGACTGTTCATAAATTTTGGTTTGACTGTATATTAGGATTAACTAGTTATTTTTATTGTTCAAAAATGGGACACTTATGGGGTTAAGGTCTGCCCTGTTTATCTGTAGTGTCTTGCCTTAATTTGAATTGTGAGACTCTCCACCTTCATGCATGTGTCTGTGCGGATCACAAATCTGAATGAGAACAAAGCAAAGGAATAAATGACTGCGTGTGGAGTCCTCAGGAGACCTCGATGATTTCCAAGCTGCCGGAGAAGCTGGACTGTCTGCTCCTCGTGCTCATCTCCTCTCGGGATCGGCTGTCCGTCATGCCGTCTATCTGGCAGCTCCTGCGCTTCAGCTGCTTCTCGAAGCTGCTCTCCTCGTGCCAGCTCCTGCGAGAGTCTCCTCCGTCTCCGCTGCGCTGTCGCCCGCGCCTCCTCACCGCCTCCAGACCCTGAGCGCAGCCGTAAAAGCGCGCCGACTCGGAGGAGAGGAACCAGCCTCCAGTTACGGGTCCGAGGACGATGTCTGAGTGCCAGCCTTTAAGTGCTTTAGCTGTTTTAGACGGAGCTCCATCCATGCTGCCGCTGCGCTGGAGCGTCTTACTATTATCTTCAGAACATTTAAATATAGTGAATATTTAAAAAGTAAATGAAAAAAAATGATTAAAGCACATAACATAAATAACGAAAAAATTAAATAAAATGAAAACTGAAAATAAGAATTTAAAATATGATTAGAAACTCTAAAGACGTGGGTGGAACAAGAAGCTAATTTTTCTGGCAGCTAGTAGAAAAGTAATTAAAAAGAACTGGTTAAAACCAGAGCCTCAGCTGAAGAATGGTTTGCTATATTAAATAATATATATGTGATGGAAAACAATATCTCTTTAAGATGATGTTTTTTTAAAATATGGAGTAAATGGATTGATTATATTAAACCAAAAGCTTTTCCTGAACTTCCATGGCCATTTAAAAATAAAAAAATTAAAAATCCCAAAGATGCATGGGTCGAAGACAACAACACTGCTTTAAATTGTTGTTGTTTTCCAAAAAAAAAAGTTACATTTTCTGTTTCATGTCATTGTATTTTTGTTTTTGTTTTTCTGAGCAAAAGATAAACATCACACATTTTCCCCTGATTTTCAGAAGAGAGCCACTAAAATGTCATTCAGTGTAACAATCTCGTCAGGCATATTTACAACAAAACTCAATTTATGACATATTAAAAGACTAATTACTTTCACCCCAAATACTAATTAGTTATCTACTATCCGAGATATCCTAGGTTTTGCCCATTTGTCAGCAAGACTTTTTTACTCATTTAATACACAATCAGATTTAATATGCTCCCTTATTCTTTTACATATTTTAATATGTCAGAATAAGCATGTTGTTTAAGCACTGAATGACAATGTAACATTATTTCAACCAAATTTTCACAATTTATTCTACGAAAACTTATTTGAAACCTTAAAATTAGACACTTTACTTACATTTAATGTGCTTTCTATGGACATAAAATCACTTTTGTAAATTTCTTTTGATGCAGATATCTTAACGTCTTTGACCCGCATACATATATGATGGTGTCTGACCTATGAACTCCACGGATCGGTCCAGCCAGGGCAGGATCTTCTCGCAGAAGCTGTCGTTGACAGGAATGCGCAAGAAATGCGAGTCGGGGATGAAGTCTGGTTTGGGGCAGGTGTTGCTAGCGTTGAGCACGTAAGCGATGTCGTTCTGCTGCATGAGCTCCTGCGGGAACACAGACATCAGCACGCGTTCTTGTCACGCGTTTTAGACGCGCTCATAATAACGTGTCTGCAGCAGGGCTGTCAAAATGGCTAAACAAACTATTGTGTTGGTCTGTCGTCATTATAAATAACTTTAGATGAAAATGAACTGAATTAACTGAAATGCTGCCTTGGCAACTAAATAAGTTCAAGTTGAAGCACTAAAATTACTAACTGGAAATAAACAACTAAAGCTGCAATTAAATTTAACTTATATAGTCTTTTTTTTTTTTTAAGCTTAAGCACTAAAATTGCTGACTGTAAAATAAATTAAAAAAATACAACAGAACTAAAACAGATTAAAAGTGAAATGAAACCTAAAAAGTTGAAGCACTAAAATTATTAAATGGAAATGAATACCATCTAAAACTGAACTAAAACAAACTAAAGCTGAAATTAAACTTAAATTGTCATATTTAAAAAAGCTAAAGCAATAAAATTACTAGCTATAGAATAAAAACTACAACTAAAAAAAATCTAATAAAAAGTAATACTGAATTAAAACAGACTAAAACTGAAAAACACAATTAAAGGAAACCTAAACAGTCATATATAAAAACTTGAAGCACTGAAATTATTAACTTGTATTAAACAAAAACTAAACTCGAATTCTGTACTTAAATATGATCAATATTCGAATTATATTCTAATTTAAAATGCATAATTTCAGTTAGGGTGAAGAAAAGCTTTTGGCTTCTCTCCCGAGGCCACAAGAGGGCGCATCGAGCAAAATATTACTAATGCACGTTTATTCAAAGCAATAAAAAAAAAAACAGTCATAAAGGTAAATCTGGTTTGTTAGGATAGGACAATATTTGGTCGAGATACAACTATTAGAAAATCTGGAATCTGAGGGTGCAAAAAATACAACAGAACTAAAACAGATTAAAAGTGAAATGAAACCTAAAAAGTTGAAGCACTAAAATTATTAAATGGAAATGAATACCATCTAAAACTGAACTAAAACAAACTAAAGCTGAAATTAAACTTAAATTGTCATATTTAAAAAAGCTAAAGCAATAAAATTACTAGCTATAGAATAAAAACTACAACTAAAAAAAATCTAATAAAAAGTAATACTGAATTAAAACAGACTAAAACTGAAAAACACAATTAAAGGAAACCTAAACAGTCATATATAAAAACTTGAAGCACTGAAATTATTAACTTGTATTAAACAAAAACTAAACTCGAATTCTGTACTTAAATATGATCAATATTCGAATTATATTCTAATTTAAAATGCATAATTTCAGTTAGGGTGAAGAAAAGCTTTTGGCTTCTCTTCTGAGGCCATAAGAGGGCGCATCGAGCAAAATATTACTAATGCACGTTTATTCAAAGCAATAAAAAAAAAAACAGTCATAAAGGTAAATCTGGTTTGTTAGGATAGGACAATATTTGGTCGAGATACAACTATTAGAAAATCTGGAATCTGAGGGTGCAAAAAAATCTAAATATTGAGAAAATCATCTTTAAAGTTGTTCAAATGAAGTTCTTAGCAATGCATATTACTAATCAAACATTAAGCTTTGATATATCTACGGTAGGAAACTTACAAAATATCTTCATGGAACATGATCTTTATTTAATATCCTAATGATTTTTGGCATTAAAGATAAATGTATGATTCTGACCCATACAATGTATTGTTGGCTATTGCTACAAATATCCCCCAGGGTCACATGCGTTCTGTGTGAATGGCTTAGTTTCAGTTTTGCCGTAGATCTTCTCCGCATTGACGTTCTCTTTTTCCGCAGTATTTTGAACGAGCAGCGCAGCATCCAGTGGCTTTAACTGGATAGGCTATCTAAAGCATTCAAATGTAATGACACCTACATCGTCACCGCATCTCGTGCGCCACTGATAAAGCTGCCTGACGCACACCTAAAATGTTTGCATTCGAATGTGTATTCTTATTTAGAATTCTACAAATATTTGAAATTGAAATTTGACTTGACAGCCCTAGTCTGCAGTGAGCGTCACCTGGTTGAGCACGTCTCTCTGGCAGCCCAGGTACAGGTGTGTCAGGATCCGCGTCGGCCCGCTGCTGCTGACGGAGAGACAGGGCTGAGAGATGCAGGACGGCACCAGCGTGGACTTCCCTTCACACAGACCCGGGAACAGCTGCGAGAACGCCACAAAACCACCTGCAGACCAGGACAGAGCATGCTATTGACCGCTGCGTGTTTATGAGGCCGGATGAAGACAGTGACAATGAAAACCTGCTAAAAGAGACGCCCTCAAAGGATTAATGTGTCGAGCAAAAAAGTTTGTCGTCACTATAAACAACTTTAGATGAAAATGAACACTACAAAATTCAAAAATTTTACTTAAAAGGAGAAATGCTGCCTTGGCAACTAAATAAGTTTAAGTTGAAGCACTAAAATTATTAACTGGAAATAAATAACTAAAGCTGAAATTAAATTAAACTTATATAGTCAAAAAAAAGAAACCGCTGAAACACTAAAATTACTAACTGGAAAATAAAATTCAATGAAATAAATAAAACAGACTAAAAGTGAAAAACTAAATTAAATGAAACCTAAACAGTAATATTTAAAAAGTCGAAGCACTAAAATTATTAAACGGAAATTAATAAAACCTAAAACTGAACTAAAATTTAATTAATGTTTAATTAATAACATAAAGCTGAAATTAAATTCAACTTAAATACTCGTGTTTTAAAAAGCTAAAGCATTAATGTTACTAACTATAAAATAAAAAAAACTAATAAAAACTACAACTAAAAAATAAAACTGAACTAAACCTGAAAAACACAATTAATGGAACCTAAACAGTCATATTCAAAAACGTGAAGCACTAAAATTATTAACTTGTGTTAAATAAAAACTAAAACTAACCCTAAAAACTGAAATAACAATAAAAATTGGCAAAAGCACATAACATAATTCACGAAAATTAAAAATGCAGTTAAAATAAAAAAAATTCAATATAAGAATAAAATAAAAAAAATTATGAATATGAATAAACACATGAATAGTGTCTCATTCGTCTCACAGAAGGGACGAACGTTTACGTTAATACAGAGGTCACGTTACAGTTAATGTTCACACGGGGATAAATGTGCTGTTTGTGGTAGTTATGACTTAAACCTGTGCAAAATGATGCCCTTCTTGTGTAGAGTTTTGCAGAAAACACTGAGCGAATTGGAACATGTGTGAAAGCAGGTGAAATGTGTTAAAAGTTTTGAGAAACTTGTCTTTGTTTCGAGAATTGTATGAATGGTTTGGCAATGAATTGTGTTAAATGAATCAGTTATAGTGTGTTACCAATCGAGAAAAACTGTAAGAAGCAATCAGACGCAGAGAACATGTTGATCTCACATCCTAGTGACGTGTCTTTGACCTCATTATGGTCATGTATGATACGGTATCTGATCATGAGTCAGTCTGATCTCTCGACGTGTCGAACAATCGCTAACTGTGTGTTTTAGTGCTACACAACCCTGAGCTGATTATCAGTCTCACCGATGACATCAGCGAAACAAAAGAAGCATTACAGTAACAGAGAAAAGAGGAACAAACAGATGAAACAAAACTCTTCAGTTCCTCTGGATTCACTTCCTGTGTAATGTCAGCGGTGAGTGTCGAAGACACACGCACACGCATACACACACACACACACGCGTGTGCGGTTATGTAATGATGAGGTCATACTAGAGCTGAACTGAGTGTTTGTACCTCAAATATTAGAGTCAAAATAATGATATATGAGCAGAACAGACTCAAAAAACACTGTTAAAATGTGTGCGTGTGTGTGTGTGTTTGTGTATGTGAGAAAGAGTGTGTGTGTGTGTGTGTGTGTGTGTGTATGTGAGAAAGTGTGTGTGTGTGTGTATGTGAGAAAGAGAGAGAGAGTGTGTGTGTGTGTGTGTGTGTGTGTTTGTGTATGTGAGAAAGAGAGAGAGAGTGTGTGTGTGTGTGTGTGTGTGTGTTTGTGTATGTGAGAAAGAGAGAGAGAGTGTGTGTGTGTGTGTGTGTGTGTGTTTGTGTATGTGAGAAAGAGAGAGAGAGTGTGTGTGTGTGTGTGTGTGTGTGTTTGTGTATGTGAGAAAGAGAGAGAGAGTGTGTGTGTGTGTGTGTGTGTGTGTTTGTGTATGTGAGAAAGAGAGAGAGAGTGTGTGTGTGTGTGTGTGTGTGTGTATTGACGTTCTCTTTTTCCGCAGTATTTTGAACGAGCAGCGCAGCATCCAGTGGCTTTAACTGGATAGGCTATCTAAAGCATTCAAATGTAATGACACCTACATCGTCACCGCATCTCGTGCGCCACTGATAAAGCTGCCTGACGCACACCTAAAATGTTTGCATTCGAATGTGTATTCTTATTTAGAATTCTACAAATATTTGAAATTGAAATTTGACTTGACAGCCCTAGTCTGCAGTGAGCGTCACCTGGTTGAGCACGTCTCTCTGGCAGCCCAGGTACAGGTGTGTCAGGATCCGCGTCGGCCCGCTGCTGCTGACGGAGAGACAGGGCTGAGAGATGCAGGACGGCACCAGCGTGGACTTCCCTTCACACAGACCCGGGAACAGCTGCGAGAACGCCACAAAACCACCTGCAGACCAGGACAGAGCATGCTATTGACCGCTGCGTGTTTATGAGGCCGGATGAAGACAGTGACAATGAAAACCTGCTAAAAGAGACGCCCTCAAAGGATTAATGTGTCGAGCAAAAAAGTTTGTCGTCACTATAAACAACTTTAGATGAAAATGAACACTACAAAATTCAAAAATTTTACTTAAAAGGAGAAATGCTGCCTTGGCAACTAAATAAGTTTAAGTTGAAGCACTAAAATTATTAACTGGAAATAAATAACTAAAGCTGAAATTAAATTAAACTTATATAGTCAAAAAAAAGAAACCGCTGAAACACTAAAATTACTAACTGGAAAATAAAATTCAATGAAATAAATAAAACAGACTAAAAGTGAAAAACTAAATTAAATGAAACCTAAACAGTAATATTTAAAAAGTCGAAGCACTAAAATTATTAAACGGAAATTAATAAAACCTAAAACTGAACTAAAATTTAATTAATGTTTAATTAATAACATAAAGCTGAAATTAAATTCAACTTAAATACTCGTGTTTTAAAAAGCTAAAGCATTAATGTTACTAACTATAAAATAAAAAAAACTAATAAAAACTACAACTAAAAAATAAAACTGAACTAAACCTGAAAAACACAATTAATGGAACCTAAACAGTCATATTCAAAAACGTGAAGCACTAAAATTATTAACTTGTGTTAAATAAAAACTAAAACTAACCCTAAAAACTGAAATAACAATAAAAATTGGCAAAAGCACATAACATAATTCACGAAAATTAAAAATGCAGTTAAAATAAAAAAAATTCAATATAAGAATAAAATAAAAAAAATTATGAATATGAATAAACACATGAATAGTGTCTCATTCGTCTCACAGAAGGGACGAACGTTTACGTTAATACAGAGGTCACGTTACAGTTAATGTTCACACGGGGATAAATGTGCTGTTTGTGGTAGTTATATTGTGTGTTCGTGTTTTCTGAATGAGAACATGACTTAAACCTGTGCAAAATGATGCCCTTCTTGTGTAGAGTTTTGCAGAAAACACTGAGCAAATTGGAACATGTGTGAAAGCAGGTGAAATGTGTTAAAAGTTTTGAGAAACTTGTCTTTGTTTCGAGAATTGTATGAATGGTTTGGCAATGAATTGTGTTAAATGAATCAGTTATAGTGTGTTAGCAATCGAGAAAAACTGTAAGAAGCAATCAGACGCAGAGAACATGTTGATCTCACATCCTAGTGACGTGTCTTTGACCTCATTATGGTCATGTATGATACGGTATCTGATCATGAGTCAGTCTGATCTCTCGACGTGTCGAACAATCGCTAACTGTGTGTTTTAGTGCTACACAACCCTGAGCTGATTATCAGTCTCACCGATGACATCAGCGAAACAAGAGAAGCATTACAGTAACAGAGAAAAAAGGAACAAACAGATGAAACAAAACTCTTCAGTTCCTCTGGATTCACTTCCTGTGTAATGTCAGCGGTGAGTGTCGAAGACACACGCACACGCATACACACACACACACACACGTGTGCGGTTATGTAATGATGAGGTCATACTAGAGCTGAACTGAGTGTTTGTACCTCAAATATTAGAGTCAAAATAATGATATATGAGCAGAACAGACTCAAAAAACACTGTTAAAATGTGTGAGAAAGAGTGTGTGTGTGTGTATGTGAGAAAGAGAGAGAGAGTGTGTGTGTGTGCACTTGTACAGCTATCTTTGTAAGAACCGATTTGAGTTTTAGACCATCGGAGTGGGGACAGTCTTATAAAGTGAGGACATTTTGGCCCATCCTTACTTTCTGAGAGCCCTTAAAGGTGCAATGTGTAATATTTAGAACGATCTATTTACAGAAATGCAATATAATATACATAACTATGTTTTCATAGGTGTATAAAGACCTTATATAATGAACCGTTATGTTTTTATTTACTTAGAATGAGCAATTTATATCTACATACACCGCGGGTCCCCTTACATGGAAGTCGCCACCATGTTTCTACAGTAGCCCTAAACGGACAAACTGCTCTTCAGAGCGCGTTTCGTCACTTTGTTGTTCTTGCGAATAAAACACTGACACAATGATGAACAAGTACATTAACATTCGCAATAGCATCGGTTTATTGAATAATTAAGTAAATATAATTCCTTAATTTACCTTTGTAAAGAAATCTCATTGCTCTCTGCTGTCTCAGACGACGACATCTTTACGTGTGTTGGCCACCGTAGCTTCTCTAAAGCGAGGGGTGAGCGGGGGACTGAGCCATTGGGTGCAATTCGTAACCTCACCGCTAGATGCCGTTTACACACTGCACCTTTAAAGGCCTGTTTGAGGGTCAAGACTTGGTTTTAGGGGTCAGGTTATTATTGGGTAAAGGTTAGCTTTAGGGTAAGGGTTTGAGTGAGGCACTTAGTTCTGATGGGTCGGTTTAGGGTAAGGAGCTAGAGACTGCATTGTGTCAATGTATGTCCTCAGAAAGATAGCTATACAGAGCTGTGTGAGTGTGTGTGTGTGTGTGTGTGTGTGTGTGAGTGAGAGAGAGAGGGTAAGAATGTGTGTGTGTGTGTGTGTGTGTGTGAGTGAGTGAGAGAGAGAGGGTGAGAATGAGTGTGTGTGTGTGTGTGTGTGTGAGTGAGTGTGTTTGAGTTGTGTGTGTGTGTGTGTGTGTGAGAGAGAGAGAGACAGCTGTGTGTGTGTGTGTGTGTGTGTGTGGGGGTGGGAGAGAGGGGGGGAGAATGTGTGTGTGTGTGTGTGTGTGTGAGTGAGTGTGTTTGGGTGAGAGAGAGAGAGAGGGTGAGAATGTGTGTGTGTGTGTGTGAGTGAGTGAGAGAGAGAGGGTGAGAATGAGTGTGTGTGTGTGTGTGTGTGAGTGAGTGTGTTTGAGTGAGAGAGAGAGGGTGAGAATGTGTGTGTGTGTGTGTGTGAGTGTGCTTGAGTGAGAGAGAGAGAGAGGGTAAGAATGAGTATGTGTGTGTGTGTTTGAGTGAGAGAGAGAGGGTGAGAATGAGTGTGTGTGTGTGTGACAGAGAGTGTGTGTGTGTGTGCGTGTGTGTGTGTGTGTGGGAGAGTGTCAGACAGACGAAACGGTTTTTGCTGAATCAGTCGGTCTTGATTGCTGCTCTAGTTAGTGGAAACCAATGAACACCACAAAGTCTAACCAAACCACTAAACCATACCATTATGGTGTACTTCAAACAACCCTCTGAAAGAGAGAGAGAATGAGACAGAAGAAAATATATATACATAAAACAAGTTTAATTGTGTGCCGAAGGACAGGAAATAAACTTAAGACTTAAAGCCACGTAAGAAGCTCAAAGCACCTGGTCCACCTGCCTCAGAGAGTGTGTGTGTGTGTGTGTGTGTGTGTGTAATATGAACCTGAGAGCAGGTGGACTGAAGGGAAACTCTTCTCCAGCTTGGCCAATAGGACGCTGAGAAAGGCCTCTGATGAGAGGGAGGCGGGGTCAGACGAGCTCTGGTCATACACCACGACCTCTTGACCCTGGAGCTCCAGCTGAAACACACACACACACACACACACGTAATGAAACACTGAGTTCATATCTTCTCCTTATTCCCTGTTTTCTAGTTATATTTCGAGTAAAATCTTTGTCGCTCTAGTGTTCTGGTTGTTAAAATTATGTTTATCTGATAGCTTTATATTCATACTAATGCTTGTCCAGTTGTGTCAGTGTAGTTTTCAACCTTAGTTAGTAGCTTGCAATGTTGCGGAAAGTAAATTTTAAAAGTAATGCATTACAATATTGCGTTACTCCATAAAGTAACTAATTGTGTTACTTAGTTACTTTTTATGGAAAGTAATGCATTATGTTACTTTTGCATGACTTTTTGTCACCTGGGCTGGGCTTGCTTATTTGTTTTTTAATAACAAAAAACCCAAAAGTTATATTTTTGGCAGCTGTAAGGACCCTTTCACACCAAAAGTGAAAGTAATAAGCCTCGTGGTGAAGAAAGTGCCTCTGCAGCTCTGATCTCTGACGGATATAAAGAGTGATACGCGCTAACAGAGACTGAGCACTCGCTCAGATAACTATGGGATGAGGTCACTCGGCAACCTGTTGCTAAGGCGTCTCAATGGCCCTCGTGAGAGACGATGGCTTGTTTGTTTCATTTGTTCATTGTGAACACACACACTTAGGTCTGCTGCACAGTTTATAGTCTATAAACCATCTAAATGATCAACATGATCAAACTTTGCTGTTTCACACAATCTACTCCACGCTTTCTTTCGTCTGATTGCTAGTTCAGAGTTTTTCAAGTTAAAGGTCTTTTATCACACTAAATCTGATGTTTAGCAGGATATTCACGCTGCTCTTTTACATGCAATGAGCAATTCAGAGCCAAAATGCTATTTTGCTTTATATGCCAATGTTAACAGTAAAGAGAAAAGAATGATCCAACCAGTGCTCAATCTGAGCCGGATCCTGTTCCGGAAAATGTCAGATTTGGGATTTCTGCGTTTCGGTAATTGTTTTTAAGGATCCAGCATTAGATCGTGACAGTGCGTGCGTGCATATGAGAGCGAGCGCAGGTTTATGTATTTGGAGGTTATGTATTGGTCCTCCACATATTTTTGACCGTGACCAGTCAGCTTTCTTAAGTTCAAACTCGCTCTCATTGATTGGTGCTTACTGCTTATTGTTTTGTGAGCAGCAGAACGTTCACATACACACAAACACACACACACACACACACACACACACACACTCTCTCTCTTTCTCACATACACACAAACACACACACACACACTCTCTCTGCAGAACGTATTTCACTTTATCAAATAAAGTGAAATATTATAATGTATAAACATTATAAATAGTGGTCGACCGATATATCGCCAATGCCGATATATCGGCCGATATTTGGCATTTTTAAAATATCGGCATCGGC